AATGATAATTAGCAACTCTCTAAGCGTGTCCTTTGCCCTTATCCAACCTCGAACTACCTGGCCCTGAGATGCATACTATAGTCAGCTTATAAAGCTCAGTGAGTTCATGGTTTGCGTGAATAAAATCATATCTTGACATATATATGGCATATATGCATGCTTTATAATAAAAGTCACAGCTTTAGGAAAATATATATGTAAAACACTGAAAATAAGAGATCTCATATAATATTTAGTCGGGTATGGGTCATTTAGTCACAAACACGCCCTGGGTTGATATGTCAATCTTAATTGATCACCCACTTATATGGGTCGTGTTTTATACTGGTCGTGACTTACTGGTCAAATGCCCATCCTTGAATCATAAAACTTTAATATGGAATAGCATGCTAGATTTATTCGAAAACTGATTAAACACATAGCATGCAACCATTCACAAAAATAACATACATGTAAAATATATCATAACATGTATGTAATTGAAATATCATGCATACGTACACATCATCAGTAATTCATATCATGCAAAAATAATTTGTACTTAGTTATGCATCCCAGTGAAATCTCATGAAGACTCACCTGATAACGAATGTTGCTTAACTAATGTCGCTGACTGGTAACCTACAATTTATAATAGTGAATAGCATATAAATGATTAATTTCTTCCAAAGGCTAACATAAGAGTCAACTTACGGTCAACTACGTCGACTAGGGTCAACTATGCTTAAGAATGCTCCTCACATCAATTAAAATTATAGAAACCGTGAGTTCCGACATAAGGTGTATCGTCTAGCTATATATCTTAAAACGACATCATAAACGTGATTATGAAGTTATCTATTATATGATAGACATGTTAATAATTACATATTTCGAGTTAAAAGCGTCCTAGTAAATTTACAACTCGAATAACACTTCGTATAGTCGATTATTCATTTTATAACTCTATAAAATCATCTTTTATAAAATAAATGTCTAGACGATATGTATGTATATATATATAATATAAACTCAAGAGCTACGCTTTAATCTCATAAAAAAAATCATCGAATTATTTGAATGATTCAGTCTAATTATCCTCAAATAATTACATAGTTAAAAGTAGTAAATTTCAACCTTGATGGTATTTTTATAAAGCAAAATGGTCACGTATTTCCCAAAATACACATTCTTTAATTTTAGAGGCATTTTGGTAATTTTATAAAAATAATAATATAAAATTGAAGTTCATAAACCAATCCCCAAGACATAGGGTCATTTCAATAATTTATAACGCAAATATGTAAAGTATCGCTAAAATACCGATTTCCACATCGTACGGTCATTTTGGTAATTAAACGGGATAAATAATCGAAATGGGGTCAAAGTTTATATTTTAAACAAACTTAATGAAAGTCTCATAAAATTATTATGCATAAAATTATTTCTGGAAATTCAAGAGACTAAATGCTAATTTTTGAAACTTAAATATATAAAGTATATTAACAACAACGGTGAATAATAAGAACATAATGTATAGATAGCTTGTTGGTTAACGCTTCGAGGCTGCGTGTCTGAGGTTGCGGGTTCGAGCCCCGCCCTTAGCATGCGTTCTTATTCTATTTTTTTCTAAGGTAGTCGCACGTGTTATTGGGTCTGGACCAGCCTGTCACCCAGGCCCAAACAGCAGCCATGGCTGCAAATGGAAGCTTTTCAACTTCGAAAATAGCTCGTTTCTTGACGTTTTTTCCTTATTCTTTCTGCACAAAACTCTTGGTAATATTTTTACCAACAGTTTGACATAAAAGAACACGAATTTTCATTAAGAAATGAGTTCCATTTACTCATTTAAAGTTTTAGTTTTAAACTAAACCGAACGAAACTTTAAACTTCAAAATCAAACCATAAAATACCAAATCTGGAACGTGAGGCTACTAGGGTTCTATAGAGGACTAAAAAACGAAGCTAACCATATAAAGGACATGAATTTTAGTTGAGTATTTTACCTCTAATCGACGAAAAACGAAGATTTCAGATGGGGACTTTCGAGCTCCGATTTCTCTCCCGATTCTCAACGAAAGTTCGGTTTTCTTGAAGCAAAAATGTAGAGCAAAGTGTTGTCTACATGTATATGTAATTTTTTTTTTTGCCGTAATAGTTGAATATTCAGACCAATTGAAGACTTCAAACGTAGTGTCGTTTTCAAGTTTCTGAAAATTTCAGATCTGGCGAATTTACAAAATAGATCCTTCTGATTTGGACCTGTTTACATCTGACCCAACTCCTTAACTATCGCGAACTTACAACTTTCACCCATGTTTTGACATTTTCTTTCACTTTTGGTCCGATTTTTAAACTTCTTTTAATTTCTTTATTCCTTTAATTTATATATATATACATATATATATATACATATATATATATATATATACACATATATATATATATAAGTACGAGTGTGTGTTTTATAATTCAAAAATGAAAAGAATATTAAAGAAGATAAAATTATTTATTCCTCGAAATTTTTGAGTTTTACACCACCTCTGGTTATTCTCATTCCGATCTGGAAGAAAGCACCGATGCTTTAACTCATGATTTTCATAAAACTACAACAAAAACTTTATGTCGAGAAATCTAAAAGGAAACCTTTGGAAAAGAAAAATCTTTCTTTGAACGTGAGACAGAGTTATTGACTGTAGAAAAAACAAGAGCTATCAGTGGAAAAAAAAAACTTTTAGAAACAAAACGTTCCACTGAAAATAGTCTTTAAAGCAGAGTGCTCTGAACTGAAAGCAGCTATACAGAAGAAGGAAAAAAGAGCTTTTAGAGAAAGAACGTGAGAGGCTAAATTCTGAAGCCTTGAAAAATAATTTTCAAAAGGAAAGGGAATTCCTACACCAGAACTTACAAAGAAAAAAGATCTTGATTAAAAAATATCAAGATGCTCAGCAGGTGTATGAAAAGATTAATTCTCACTGGATAGAGCAGGGATAGGTTATACAGACCTAGACCTCACTTGGAAGAAAAAATCCGCTATTGAGTCTGTATTTAGGTTAGAGGCAGAGTAAAAACCAGATTTTCCATCTCTGCATAAAAAACTCACCTTTCAAAAGATGTAAACTTGAGAATGGGGCCAGAATTCAAAAGTTAAAGTTTGAGAACATCTCTTATTCTTCAAAAAGTATGCAACAAGTTGATCTAAATAGCATACAAAAGACAAAGGGGATTTTCTGTTTTGGCTCTAATAATCTTGAACATCTAAA